GAATAACACCCCCCTCCCACTCAAACACACATTTTATCATTGTTATTATTTACTCATCTGAAACATATTTTGATGTGATCCAGGAATCAATTCCGTTTGAGTAAGGCTGCAGAACATGACTGGAGTGCCAGGGTAAGGTATCAGATTGGATTTTCCTGTGTTACCTGACAAACTGAAGCTGCAGTCCTTTGGAATAATCCCTTTAAACTTAGTGGGAATAAGGCTGCTCCAATCCATGTATATCAGTGATGCTGGATAGTTTTCCAAAGGCATTAAACTGTGGTAACCAGGAAGAGCTGTGGTTCAGCAGTTATCACATCCTTAGCACGCAAAAGGTACTCATTGGATAGACGGATAAAACCCGTGGAAAGCAGTTGCCAATCAGTGCAGATGGTACTGACCCAGGTGAACCAATGGTCTGACTTGGCATAACACAGCTTCCTATGAATGCTATACAGTGGTACCTCGGGTTAAGAACTTAATTCGTTCTGGAGGTCCGTTCTTAACCTGAAACTGTTTTTAACCTGAAGCACCATTTTAGCTAATGGGGCCTCCTGCTGCCGCTGCGCCGCCAGAGCACAATTTCTGTTCTCATCCTGAAGCAAAGTTCTTAACCTGAAGCACTATTTCTGGGTTAGCGGAGTCTGTAGCCTGAAGCATATGTAACCTGAAGCGTATATAATCCAAGGTATGACTATCCCTGTGCTGAAACTACCGTAATGCACTACAGCAGTTCAAATGCCACCTTTATTTATATCATGGGTGAGGAACCTTTTTCATATTGAGGGCTGCATTCACTTCTGGTATAGTAACATATTTTAATTTTCCCTGGGTCACTGCAGTAATTTATTGTTTGTGTTTTACTTATTTTTGCTGTTTTAAATCATTTGTTTCTACCTTTGTGTAGTAAATAAATTAAGTTCTGAGAGGTCATACCTTGTTAGCATTGCTGCTTGCTCTGCAGAAATGGCGGCAACTCTATTCTTGCCCACCAAGTTTTTTCTGATGCCGCTACTGAATAAAGCTTAAAGCAAATTTGTGAAAATAAAAATGGGAATATTGTGCTCAAGGCAGCACCCATACCGCCAAGATACAATGAATATAATGAATTTCAAAAGTGGCTTTGGAATGTTTGTGTGTGCGTGTGTACAGCATTGTGTAATAATTATTGTAAAACTGAGTTCCACTACATCTGTGGACAAGTTTAATCGGATGGTTTCAGTTATGTTTTGTACCTCAGAGGGCACTAAGTGTAGTTACAGATTCTGAACAGAAGAGTGCATGAGTTAGCTTTTCATTGACCTCAAGAAAAAGATTCTGTTTTCTTAACATTAGAAATCTGGCAAGATTTGCTTGGCTCTGATATTATACATACTTATCTGTGAGTAAGCCCCAATGAACTCAATGTGGTTTACTTCTGAGCAAACATGCATGCTGCCAGGCATGTACCAGTATGTGTAGAAATGCAGCTGCACTGTTTCTAAAAAAAGATCCTTGCTTGCCCTTAGAGCTAGAGATAGCCAAGATTCAAATTCCTTCCAAGAAGTTTCAAAAAACAAACAAATCCCAGATCGTATCAGATTATAGTTTCTTCCAAATATTTTTAAAGCTAACTATTTTGGATATGGACAGAAGTCTTTTAAATTGTTTGTTTATTCGTTTGATGAGTCCCACTTTTCTGGAGAGCTTTCAGAGCTTTTTTTAATTGTTTCGTTCAAGTTCCATGCTAAATTTCACAACCGGGTTAACTCAGCTGATGAAAATAAACAGGAAGCATCCCACACATTGATCTTTAAAAGTGTGTGTGTGTGTGTGTGTGTGCTTGCTTGCTTCCAGCATATTGTCATGATGTATTCTCACTTACGAGAAACTACTACAAATATTTGTTGCCTTCAGACTACAATTTGAGAGGGTCAGAGAGAGATTTCATGTTTGCACTGCTGTTTTAAAAGACAGAGTAGGTTTGCAACCCTGCTTGGGGGGAAAGGACATTTCTAAATAAGTTAACAACCAGTAAAGAGCCCCCTCTTGCACAAACACAGTGGCTTATCTGTGGCCTACTCATAGAATTCTGCAGAGCTGCACACAGACATATCATTTGATCTGAGAGTCACTAACTAGTGGCCTTGGCTTATCGGTCAAAGCAGGGCATTGCACCATGACTGAACAAACCAACAAGGCAAACGATGCAGTTTAGGGTCTCTGTTCTCCACTGTCCAAATATATAGGTAAATAAGAGGAAAGCCTAGGAAAAGGAGAAATGTCAGCCAACATTTTCTTGTTTTAAGAAAAACTCTTTACCTCCACCTCTTGAGCTAGAAGAATCTGCTACACATTCTCTCTCAGTAGAATGAATTACTGTACCTTCCAATAATTGCTAAGATGGTCGTTTTCCTGCCTCATCAAAAAAAGAAAAAGCAACGTGCTTCATAACAATTCAAGGAAATGAACATACTGTGTCACCTATTTGCCATATTTGAACAACAAGGACATGCAAAGAGAGGTTCTCGGTGTTGCCCTAAAATTGTGTAATTTCCATCCCATGGATATTCAAGGCTTGAACATAATCATTTTCAAGAAGTGCTGGGAGACATTTTTATTTGTTCTGGCTTTTAATGGCTATAGCCAGAGTTAATGGTGGTGGTTTTTATTTGCCTTAGTGGGAGCGGGGTTAGGTGGATTTGTGGGACATTTGTATTCACTACTCCATTTCCACATACTCCTAGGCTGAGACAAGCCAATAAATACTAGATAAATTTGTTCAGGAATGGGTGTCCCAAAGTCTGAGCTTCAACAACTCTGGTCCTGGGAGTAAGTCCCATTGAACTCTCAGTGAGAGTTCCAAGAATAGCACAATTTTGTATGTCTATACATTTGCTAAATAGTGTTAAATATCTCCAGATAGTCAAGTTTTCAGCTTGACACACTTCTGTTTTTATCCTGTGTGCTCCAACTGCTGTTCTGGGAAGCGGTATTTACACGACATTCTGACATAAGAAGAGCCTGCTGGATCAGACCAATGACCCATCTAGTCCAGCATTCTGTTCTCACACAGGCCAACTAGATGCCTTTGGGAAGCTTGCAAACAGGATTTGAGCTCAAGAGCACTCTTCTGAAGTTCCCCACAGCTGTTATTCTATCAACTGGTATTCTAGCAACTACAGTTGTACCTTGGATCCTGAACACCTTGTGAGTCAAACGTTCTGGCTCCAGAACGCCATAAACCAGGAACTGAGTATTCCGGTTTGTTCTTTGGAACCCAAATGTCCGACACAGCTTCTGGTTGGCTGCAGGGGCTTTCTGCAGCCAATCAGAAGCCACGCCTTGGTTTCCGAATGCTTTGGAAATTGAACGGACTTCGGAACGGATTCCGTTCGACTTCCAAGGTACAACTATGCTCATGGATATTTCTGTGGGCTTAGAGTTACCGCTGGCAGTTCTTTCACTAATAGTAGTCAATATTAGGCCCCAAAGTATGTCCACTGGTAGGACAGAGACCATCTCTGTATGTTTGTTGGGCCCCAGGATCAGACTTCCTGAAGCTGGCATAACTTACATAGAAGCTACCACATGCAGAGTCAGACCATCAGTCCATCTGGCTCATCTTTGCTGCCTGGCAATGGCTCTCCCAAGGTTTAATGCAGGAGTATTTCCCATCCTTTCCTGGAGATACTAGGATCTTCATCATGCAAGGCAGATGCTAAACCATTGAGCTATGGCCATTCTCCAAGTAGAGCCATGTCAGGAAAAAAGGAGATAAGTCACACACGTATCTCCTGTGCTGGCTGGCCCAAGCCAGCAGGGCTTGGATTGCAGCAGGAGATCTGATACCCCTCAATCTCACTTAGCTAGGCACTGTTAGTAGGAAGATGATAGATGCTTCTAAAACTTTGTTTGGCGTGGAGAAAGCTTGAGGTAGCATGCAACTAATAAGCTTAAATAAAAATCATCACCTGGTTAATCTGGCTGATGTGCCACATTAAAGATTTGCACAAGCTCTTCTCATTGTGTAAGCATTCAAAGCTGCTGATCTGTTGCACAGTGAGACTTAAGGTTGAAGGGTAAATTGCACTTTTTAAAATGAAGATGACGTGGTTTAGGATGGGCAGCATGCAATGCTGTTTGAAGACCAGGTTAGCATTTACAAAGTATGAAAAATATCCAAAACCACAGTAAGGGTATGTAAAATTACAGTAACAGACTTGAAACTACACGTGAGTAAAGGAAAGGCCAACTCCATAGGAATTAATGGGGCATAGTCACAACAAATAACTCTCCCTGTTGATTTCAATGGGACTTAAAGGATGACATTTAATTTTCTTTAGCTCTGAGACAATGTAGTTATACATAGCTTTGGGTCAGGGTTGCTGAGACCTGAAGAGCAAAAAGGAGACGAAGGAACAAGACTATCAAGACCCTGATTACAGTTACAAACACTGCTAGTCTGTTTTCTTTGCCCAATTTCTTACGCCTACAACATTTTTAATTTCCGCAAATGAACATGGCTATATTTAAATGACACCTATTTGTCCTCCATTGAAGATGGTACATAGCAGAAGATGTTGCTCAACTGGAGACTTTGTCCAGGCACAAGCTCTGAACATTTAGGTTAAATATTAACAGTGTGGGACGGCAGACCTATCGTTAACCAGCTAAGATACTTCAGGTTGATTCATTTATATATGATCACTGACTTGCTTTCTCTGATTTTACAGAGGGGAGGAAAGCTGCTAAGATGCTCACGCAATCCAAAATCATGAAACTACTGTTGCTGTTTCTCCTTTCTGTTGTTGTCGTCGTTAAATCCCAGGCTGCTGTTGACTATGATGATGAAGAGGAGGTTAGAATATAAAGGTTTTTTTAAAAATAATAATAATCATGTGTTCGCATTTTTGGTTTAGATTTCAGAAAATAGAGGCAAAACCGAATACCATTTTATTTGCATTAAGGAAATAATAATTTGCAAATTAAACATGTAAGAAAGAAGGGTTGAATTCTTGAGTTATGTGTAATTAATGCTGATCCTTTTCCCTTCTTTCTTCCCTTTTCCTTTATATAGGTAGCCACAACCGCAGCTCCGGTAAGACCGAGTTTTCTTCTTAATTAAAGAAAAACAAACCACATAATGGTTACAATTATGGATTCCGTTCCAGAAACTTATATATTTGCTTATAATTTGCTGTCAAATAATTGTGTGTGTGAAAAAAATGCACTTACCTCCAATTTAAGAATTTATTTAATATTGCCATTCCAGAGACATTTATCATTCATTTCTTGAAATAAAGCTAGCGGGTGGGGTGAGGAAAGCCTGCTGGTCCTCATGGGATTATTCAGGTATAGTTTGACTGTTTCCACGTAAGATACTGAAAAGGACATGATACCATCAGGGGGAAGAAAATTTCTCTAACATGACAATTCAATAGCACATGAACTTTGTCTATGGGAACACTGTCACCTTTTGTGAATTCAGTTAATCTTTTGAATGAAGTTCAATGGGTAATTATTTGTATTGCAATATATTATCTCATTTTATCTTAAAATTGATTTTTGCCTTCCATTGCTTTTGGATTTATTTTTTCTCAGGTTTTGTTCATTTCATTGAGATGTTAGGTTAGGAATATCTAAGGAACATTAGCCCTATTCCTTATGCATCTTTATGTATTTTTAAGCACAAAAACTCATAATTGTTAGGACCAAACTGCACATTTCAATGCAGTTTTTTTTAGTTTAAAAACATGCTGGGAAGGATGCATTTGCAAGCAAAGAATAAATAGGCAGGCATTTCTCTATCTGCTGTTATTCTCCAGATCACCTGCTAAGTGATTTCCCCATCCCCTAATGGGTTTCAAAAGAATGTCAAATATATTGAAGAATTTACTTGCCTCCAACCACAGATTTCTGCATACAGTTTTATTCTGAACTTCCTTGATGACCCCTGTGCCCCCTGCTCCAGTCCAAAATACTAGAGTAGGCCTGGTTTGTTCATAATACCAACCCATGGTTTATTAAACCATGACTTAGTATTACACATAAACCCTGCCCAGTGCTTAACTGTGCTTTATTCACTGCCAACAAACCACAATCTAAAACCATGGCTTGTTGTTGGCTTACAAACCTTAGTTTGTTTTAACTATGACTTAGCGTTACATGTGAACCTACCAGCTTTATTTATTCAATTTCCATCCTGCCATTCCTGCCAAAGGAGCCCAGATGGAACACGACAAAGCAGCAAAACAGTACAGGTTAAAGAAAAATAAGTAAAATAGATGAAAACATTTTAAACCATTAAGAACATCTGTAAAAACCTTAAAAATACACAGCCCCGGCCCCACCCCAAACTATACAGGAGAGAGTAGCTGGAAAATGAACAAAACTGTGGAGGAATAAATACTTTGGTAGATGCATGATGTATTCTTTTTATAATGTAAATTGTTTGCAGATTATAACAGTAACAGGATTATTTATCCTCCCACTGCCGTCGGTGAACAGGTTGACGGCGATGGAGTAGATGCACGAGGTCACAGGCCACTGAACAAAAAACGGGAGCCATATCCAACTCTCCGTCCAGCTCCTCTTCCTCCCAGTAGTGGCTTTAGATATCGGGCTCGTCCAACTAAACCACCTGCGGCTGGCCGAAAAAGAGAGCAGGTTGCATTCCCTGACCATGGAGGCTGCAAACATATGTCGGAAGAGCTGGTAGGTTTATGTGCATTACTAGTGTGGTGGGACAATAATTCTTAAGAGCAAGTAGTAGGTTTCATCCTGTTTGATAAGGCTACCTCTTGGAAGCACTTCGGTGGGAAAGTATATGTGCTTATCAGTCCATTTCTTGTTGGTTTGCTTTGGGCTGTAATCCTGATATTTCAAAAATTACAAACATGCACTGCTGGGGAGCTTGCATCAGAGCTACTTTGCCGGGTCTGTAGTGAAACATCTGTGTGGCCATCAGGTATTTATATGGCAGCTGCTTTTAAACAATAGCTATTTTAATGGTTTAAGAACTCATCTTGTTTACACATCATAACACAGACATTCTATTCTTCATCTCTCCCAATTACTAGCCATCTGTTATGACAAAACCAGCTACAAATGTGTGGCTAGCCAATTAATTGATTTGTTAGCACCTACTTTGTATGCCCGATCTGTATATGCTTGAAATTCTGTGGAGGTAACCTTCTTGAAGGGACGCGGGTGGTGCTGTGGGTTAAACCACAGAGCCTAGGACTAGCCAATCAGTAGAAATTCGAATCCCCGCAACAGGGTGAGCTCCCGTTGCTCAGTCCCTGCTCCTGCCAACCTAGCAGTTCAAAAGCATGTCAAAGTGCAAGTAGATAAATAGGTACCACTCCGGTGGGAAGGTAAATGGCGTTTCTGTGCGCTGCTCTGGTTCGCCAGAAGCGGCTTAGTTATGCTGGCCACATGACCTAGAAGCTGTACGCCAGGTCCCTCAGCCAATAAAGTGAGATGAGCGCTGCAACCCCAGAATCGGCCACGACTGGACCTAATGGTCAGGGGTCCCTTTACCTTTAACTTTACCTTTACCCTTCTTGTGATTCAATTCCATATCACTCATGGTCATGTATGAATTAAGCAATCAGATAGACAGGGCCAATTATGTGTCTCTTTCTTTTTTACCCATTCAGAACTCCATGCACACCCAAGCACTATGGGATGGCATCGCTACTTGCATAATTTTTTTAAAAAAGCATGTACATTGAATTAAAAAAATGTACTTAATGTCATGTTAACTCTAACCTACTGCCTTCAGCTGCATTGTGTTTGTGTGTGCGCACTTTTTAAAGGGAGTCTTATGCCCAACTGGATGTGAGCTGCGGACTGCGCTGCTGAAACAGGAAAGGACGGTGAAGCCAACTGTGCAGGATCTAACAGACAAAGTGCAGAAGCTAGAGCAGTCCACTTCAACTATATATTCTTATACCCATCTGCTGGATGAGAGGCTAGCAAAGAAACAGAAACAAGTACTAGGTAAACCCTGCTATTGTCATTTATCACGTTCTGCAAATCAATACATAGGCAAAACTGCCTTGCTCTGGGTATCCTGAAAGGCCTCTCGAGAAGGATGAATGATAATAAAGACCACCAGAGGGCACATTCGTGACCACACTTAAAATTTTTTTAGTTCCTACCTTTATGTATTAGTTGTATTTTTGTAATTGGGTGTCTCAAGGTGACTTACACAACAAAAATAGAAAAAAGCAGAGACATTAAAATCAGACATAAAAATAGCATATAATAATAATAATAATAATAATAATAATAATGCCACTCTGGGCAGCTTCCAACAGAACACTAAAATACAATAACCTATTAAACATTAAAAGCTTCCCTTTTAAACGTAAACACTGCTGTCTGTTTTGAATAGACTTATTTTGGGATTGGAATGTACGAGCCATGTGTGAAAATGACACATTTAGCAGTATGGCAGTTTGATCATATCAGCCAGCCATTAATCTCCAATCAGGGTAATAATTCCTGACTTGCATGCTGGACCAGATAGGCAGATGTCATCTACAAACATCTGAAGTGCTTGTTCCAGGAGATAAAGCAGAAGTCAAATCTTGATCATGGCTTATAACATATTAGTATTTATTATTTCTATTGTACCCTCCATATATATGCGGCTAAGTCCTACTCCTCCTGCCTACCTAGCAGTTCGAAAGCACGTCAAAGTGCAAGCAGATAAATAGGTACCGCTCCGTCGGGAAGGTAAACGGCATTTCCATGTACTGCTCTGGTTCACCAGAAGCGGTTTAGTCATGCTGGCCACATGACCCGGAAGCTGTCCGCCGGCTCCCTTGGCCAATAAAGCAAGATGAGCGCCGCAACCCCAGAGTCGTCTGTGACTGGACTTAACTGTCAGGGGTCCCTTTACCTTTAAGTCCCACTCAGAGTAGATCCATTGAAATTAATGACCCTAAATTAGTCATGTCCATTAACTTCAGTTGGTCTACTCTGAGTAGGATGTGTTATTAACACTGATGCTGTTTTACAAAGAATGAGAGGTCAGTTCTCTGCCTCAAGGTGCTTCCAATCTAAAGAAATACACAAAGGATGCAGCAGAGGAATGCGAGGGCAGTGGGAGTCAGTGTCGGATTACTAGCCTATTGGGTGAAAAAAGTCTACTATGGTCTATGTACTGACACAATAAATGCTCTTTTATTCTGTTAGCAGTTTTTTTAAAAAAAACGTATACATGAATTTGGTTTTTTTTTCAGATAACCAGAATGTAATTTCTCAATACAACAAGGAGGTTGAGGAGCACTACACTTTCATCAAGGATAACCTAGACAACAACATCCCAACTAACCTGCGACTTCTTCGTTCAGTTGTGGATAGTTTGCAAAAGAAAATACAAGAGCTGCAAAAAACTGTCACTTCTCAGTTGCAAGACTGTCGCACTCCCTGTACAGTTTCATGCAATATACCTGTGGTGTCGGGCAAAGGTAATCTCTCTCTTCCCTGATTTGTCTTGCTCCGCAGTTTGACAGATGTACAGGCAGCCTTGAGGGTGCCACCGGCACATTCACAGAGACCCTTACACCACACTGTCATCTCCAATGAGGCATCTCTTGTGACCACCAAATAATGAGCAGGGCAATCTGACCCCCAGCTACAGCTTCTGTGTCCATTGTGGCTGGTGATGGTCTGGCTACAGCAGCCCTGTAACTTCATCCCAAGATCTATGACAGTGACAGGGAATGTGTGGTCCTCCAGTTGTTGTTGGATTCTCAGATCCCATCATCCCTGACCAGCATGGCCAGGGATGATGGAAGTTGTAGTCCAGCAATGTCTGGAGAGCATCAGGTTCCACATTCTTGGCCTAAGGCCAACTTGCCTGCTGTTCTCCTCTCCTTTCTTCCCAAATGGTTGATGGCCCTCGTGGTAATTGGTTCACTGACATGCTGGCTTAAGCTAATGAAAATCTCTTATTACCTCATTCTACTGAGGGAACCTTGTATTTTAACAAAACGGGTGGAGGAAAGACTTTTCACATCAGTAGGATCCCCAAAAGTATTGGGTGTGGACCCTAAACACAAAGGGATGTGAGTGGGACAGTACAGGTACAGTATTCTTTCCTTCCTTTCATCCTCTCGATTTAATTCATCCTTTAGAAAGTAAGTGGGAGGCAGTAAACAATTTTATGCCTGTATGTAATTGGTTCTACTAATACCAAGCTATTGGGGGAGGGAAAGATTTTTGTAGCTCGCTCAGCAATATATATCATGGCTTTTTGATTGCAGAGTGCGAAGACATAATTCGAAAAGGAGGTGAAACATCTGAAATGTATCTCGTCCAACCGGATCCTTTTTTCAAACCATACAGAGTTTATTGCGACATGAAAACAGACAATGGAGGTGAGTTGGGCCAGTGCCTCACAGGAGTTCCTTGCTGATTTCCAGGACCCCTTGCCCCTCCCCACCTATGCTGTTCCCGCCTGATCATCTGCCTCTTCCAGGATGCAAACAGAGATAAGAGCAAGGTGAAGGAGGCAGTGGTGTGGATTGGTCCCAGAGGGAGAGAACAAATCCAAGTGACAGTGGCAAGGAGAGAGGGGAGGCTATTCAGGGAGAAGACTCACTGAAGCTGCCCATTTGAAGCTGCTACTGTGTTGAGTAAAGAGAACCGAAAGAGTGGCAAAGAAATTGGCACCAACTGTATTGCACCTGCAGCTTTTGCGTTAACAAGAAAACAGTTACAGCCTGTCAACTTAACTTTGAAATTAAGTATTTGGTAGTTAAGCATGATGCACCTTCTCTCAAACTACGGCCGGAATTCAATTCTGAGAAGATTCCCTCCCCCACCCCCAGTAGCCTATGTGTTATGGATACTATCACATCAAAGTTTAGCACTTTGAAATCTCATGTGCCACCCTTGATGTGATGATATATTTTTAGAGCATAGTTGCATATTTTGGTATTAAATATCCTGCCCATCTCGAGATGGGCAAGGTAAAAATCTCAGGTTATAATCCAGAGAGTGGGCATCTGACCCCATGAGAAATCAGTTGCTAAAATCTCATTATTTCTAGCAGGTATCGTTCTGTTACACAAGCAATGATCCACTGACAAGTTCTGCTATTGAAATGATATGAGAATGTCCAAATAGACTGTGCATCTTCTTTAGACAAATGTGCAGCTATTTATTTTACTGAAGTCTTCTATATATGAGTACATTCAGACACACCGAGACAGAAATTACTGAGGCCATATTGATGATACACAAAAATGACCTGTGCCAGCATATTTCTTCTTCTTCCCTTCGTTTTGGTTAATGACTGGTGATTTTTGCATCCTTTTACCTTTTCCAGGCTGGCTTCTTATTCAAAACCGCCAAGATGGCAGTGTTAACTTTGGAAGACCATGGGATTCCTATAAAAAAGGGTTTGGAAATGTTGCATCCAGTGGTGGAAAGAACTATTGTGACACCCCTGGTAAGAACCGTGACTCTGAGCAGCTTCTTATTAATGAACTATTATCAGCTGCTTTGGCTGGTGAAGAATGTGAGAGGACATACTGCAACTTGGGAGTTGCATCATTTCTTAGTGGTAGACCATCTGCTTTGTATGTGGAAGGTTTCAAGTTCATTCACCAGCTTCTCTGGGTAGGGTTGGGGGAGTCCCCTGCCAAAAACCCTGGACAGATGCTGCCAGTCAGTGTAGACAGCCCTGAGCAAAGTGGGTCAATAGTTCCACTCGGTATAATGCATCTTCCTCTGTACTTGCAGTCACATGGATCAAGTGGCTGTGTTAATGAATGCCTTCATCATTACAACATTGCTCAAAGCTGAGTCTCCAGCTGTTATTGGACTATAACTCCCATCATCCCTAGCTAGCAGGACCAGTGGTCAGGGATGATGGGAGTTGTAGTCCAACAACAACTGGAGACCCAGGTTTGATAAACAGTGCCGCCTTAATGCCTGCCACTTTTGACTACCTTTGCTTCCTTTTTGTATCGATGCATAAAGTTTGCACAGCAAAACAGTGTCAAGAAGTGTTTTTTGTAGCTGTCTTAACAGTCTCTGAACTTTCCTCTTACATAAATCAATAAAACACTGTTGGTTGCATTGGGGAGATTAGAAGAGCAGGGATAAGCAAGATTTCTCTGTTTCTGTTGTTAAAAAAAAATGACATATGGTTTTAACTCACTGTCCAGCTAGGTGTTCTCATAATTCTTGGAACTGCCTGGTTTGGTTCAGGTTTTACAGATTTAGGACAAAGAATAGATTCCTTAAAAACCCTTCTGAAGATTGCTTTAGCCAATGTGTTTTCATTATACCACAGGTGAATATTGGCTTGGAAATGACAAAATCAGCCAGCTTACCAAAATGGGACCCACTGAGCTTTTAATCGAACTGGAAGACTGGAATGGTGATAAGGTTAAAGCACACTATGGAGGATTCAGCATTCAGGGGGAAGCAAACAAGTATCAGCTCTCAGTTAGTAACTACAGGGGCACAGCTGGAAACGCCTTGTTAGAAGGAGCGTCGCAGCTGTATGGTGAAAACCGAACAATGACAATCCACAATAGCATGTTCTTCAGCACTTTCGACAGAGACAATGATGGCTGGTATGTGTATGCATCTGCACTTGGTTTGCTACTGTACTCTGGCACACACATTTGTGTATGACCAGAGATGAATTGCTTCCTTTGCAACTCTTAATGTTGCACGGCTGCAAGCTGTTAGGCTGGCATAGTTTATTACCATTGCAATAAATGAACACCGATGGCTGATGGGCACACAGATACATCTGTCAGGCTTTTTTTTGGGGGGGGGTTTCTAATTCAGGGAGAGCTACTTTTGATTAGACATGTATAGGATCATGCTGTCAGGCTGGAACAGATTATAAAAAGTACCCTAGTGTTAAGAGTTATAAGCTATATACAGTGGTACCTTGGGTTACATACGCTTCAGGTTACAGACTCCGCTAACCCAGAAATAGTCCCTCGGGTTAAGAACTTTGCTTCAGGATGAGAACAGAAATCACATGGCGGCGTCATGGCGGCGACACTGGGAGGCCCCATTAGCTAAAGTGGTGCTTCGGGTTAAGAACAGTTTCAGGTTAAGAACAGACCTCCAGAACGAATTAAGTTCTTAACCCAAGGTACCACTGTAATTTATATAAATCATCATTCGGAGAACCATGGGATGATCTCCTGGTTGATTAATAGAGATTACTTTGTCCAAGGAAAATACACCTATTACTGGGTGCACAAGTACATTTATTATGGTTGTAATTATCATTACTATTATTAATTTAAATGTATTACCCACCCTTCACCAGGGCACTTTAAAATTCAGAACTGAAAACAGTTAATAACATAAATTAATATATGTTGGTTTTGAAGATTATGCATTTGCTTTTTTATTGGTGCATGTAAAATATACCTTTTGTATATTTCACCCCGCAGGCCAAATCCAGACCCAAAGAAACAGTGTTCCAAAGAAGACGGTGGTGGTTGGTGGTACAATCGTTGCCATTCCGCCAATCCAAATGGCAGATACTACTGGGGTGGGCATTATACCTCAGAAATGGCAAAACACGGAACAGATGATGGCATGGTATGGATGAATTGGAAAGGGTCCTGGCATTCACTGAAGAAAGCCAGCATGAAGATTAGACCAATCATCCAAGAATAGTGATTGTTATTTAAATAAACAGTGGCAATTTTTTTGTGCTCATATCTGTTTCATGATATATTTGAGCCTAACTGCATTAAAACATTAACCGGCAAACACACGCACTCTGCCATGTTTATGTTGGTTAAATTCACTGTGAATAAAAGCAGAAGTGTTATACAGGCAAGTCGCATCTTACACTTATTTTACTTATGTGATCACAGCTTTGTGCAGATGGGGATGGGAGGGAAATAAATAAAGGGAGAGGGGAAGAAAACCCACTCTCCATTTATTTCCCTTCCCCGAAGGTGAGCAAGGTGCCAAACTTTGGGAATTTGCAGGAGAGCTCGGGGACACTGCCAGAACCTTTGCACAAGCTTCCCAAAGCCAAGTAAGAAACCCTCCACCTTGCAGGGGTGGTAGTTCCAGGGGCTCCTGGCTTGGATTAACCTCACTGAAATAGTTTGAAAACATCATGTGATACATTTATGACAGATAGGCAACACAAAAACCTTTTGAATACCTCATACTTCCTCTATAGTATTGACATTTTCTGCTCCACTAACTTCATTTCTTTATTACAGGATTTCTTACACACACCCTTGACCTTAAGGTCCCAGGGCAAGTTGCAATACCGTCACACGGTTTAAAATCAGATAAAAGAATTTACATGAAAATCTAATACAATTTTAAGTATTATAAATCACACCTCACAGCTGTCAAAGGCCAGGGTAATGAGCTGCGACAAAAGCTGTACTGTAAAGAAGCCAGCCGCATCTTTGTGTGGAGGGAATTCCAGAACCTGCCCATTCAAAAGTAGATTCAGAGTGAGGAAATGAGTTCTTGTCTCAAATTCTGTGGGAAAAGCTTCACAACGTAAGAGGTCCTTCTGGATTTGTTCAGTGTTCCATTGAGTCCAGCATTCTTTCCCCAGAAGTGGCCAGCCAGAGGCTTCTGGGAAGCAAACTGAGCTGCTGTGTTAATTAATTAAATAAATAAATGGGTGCTTAACTCACCTTGATGCTTCTTCAGCTGGGTCTCCCTGCTTGCAGACGTCTCATGGGCATCTGATGACCACTCTGATAACAGGATACGGGGCTAGATGGGCCACTGGCCTGATCCAGCAGAGATCCTATTATGTTTCTGTGTTTGGCGACAGAGGTATACTGTCTCTGAACACGGGTGTGTAAACTGCCCTGTGGTCTCTTGATGAAGGGCAGTATATAAATTTAATAAATGATAGTAATAAAAATAATTCCAATAAGTGGCTTTTCTATAATTTTATTTTTTCTTCAAGCTTCTTTTTACCCAACTTCCTTTCAATCACCTGAGACCAGAACCACTCTTGCACAGTTTGCACTAAAAATGTCTAATGCACATCAGGACATTTTGAATGTGACCTCGCTGAAGTGTATTGTCACCAAACAGTTAACATTTGTCCGGTTATACATTTCCCTGCAGAAGTCTGCCTTTCCTGACAAAACAGGGCTGTGGCTATAATTATGCAATGCAACTAACAAGAAACAAATGATACTGGGATATCAATGCTTTCTCTGGTTGACTACAGAACAAGAGTCTTTTTAGTTCACAGCCCCCTGTTCAGTATGTCCTTGCCCTCTAGCTATGTGGGGCCCTCCAAATAGCCAATGGTCAGAGATGTTGGGAATTGTAGTCAAACAACACCTGAAGAGCACCACATTGGCTACCCCAGGCTAAGAACTTGCAGACGTGTTTATCCTTGTCACCGGTAGTTGTACTAAGAGAGAGGTCACCAGCTTTTTTGGTACAGTGGCACATTTTGAATATTGAGCAAGTGCTATGGATGTCAATCACAAAATAACTGCCATGGGGTGTGGCATAACACAAAATGGCTGCCATGGAAGGCATGGCAGAATACAAAATGGCTGCCATCGGAGGATGGCATAACACAAAATTAGAGAGAGAGAGTCATCATTGTTGTTCCCACCATGCCATCCCGGAAACCTCATGCTTATCTTGAGAAGTCAGCCACATCCTCCTGATGCCCTGTGTGAACAGGGGGATCACACAATATTGATTTCACATCCATATATACCCAGATGCTGTTGCCATTTAACAACATCAAGGATCATTCCCCAGTACCAGAAAAAATATGCAAGGTGACCACGCCACACTTCCTCGCTTACACACACAGTATGCAAAAGCACTCGCCACACACAGACCAGTCACCCACTTCACATAAGCATCTTTCCTCGCTCTCTCTGCTCAAGTGCACCTCTCTCACAGAGATCATACGCATGCAGAGACCTCCCCATTCTCTCTCACACACACCCTGCATATTTCCCCTCACATGTTAACTTTCTAAATACAGAGAGTTTCTGATGTCGGGGAGTATTGAGCTATTTGATTCTCCCACCTTCATTTTTAACTGATAAGAGATCCTGGAGAAGCTTTTTCTATTTAAGTCATCATCATCAACCTTTTATTCGACCGTCAGTCAGAAAAAAGTACATTTTTTTCTATTTAAGTGTATTGGTGGATCAACATAGATGCTGGCTAGCAAGCATGGGATATCACTAATGGGAGCCTTTTTACTAATGCTATTTGCAGTGCATTGGGTGAATTTTTCAGGCCTATTGCCAGGGAGGGGAGGGTTATGCATCCCCACATGCTGCAGTCCCAATAAAAACCAGGGGCCTCCATGGCTGGTGGTAAATAATAAAAACCAGACATGGCTGGTGACGGGGCAATTAAAGTAACATCTAGTTTTGAAAGGCTACAGTTTGTTCCTTAAAAGGCTTCTCTTCCAACATTTAGAGACCAGGGATCAACCCCATTTGTTCTACAGCTGCTTTTAATTCTGTTTTGATCGCCTCAGCCTTGCTTTCAGTGAACTAATTTATAATTTATATAGTCCAAAACAAATCCACCTTTGAAAGTTATTCTGTTATTAGTAAAATAACTGACTAGGCAATGCATGGCAAATGGCAATTTGTTGTTTTCAGGCGGTTGGAGGATGGATGGCGGCTAACAGATTGAGGTTTTTGGGGGACAGGGAGCGGGTGGGTGTGGGGGATTCCCTGGTCCTGAATGGGGTAACTGTGCCCCTGAAGGACCAGGTGCGCAGCCTGGGAGTCATTCTGGACTCACAGCTGTCCATGGAGGCGCAGGTTAACTCTGTGTCCAGGGCAGCTGTCTACCAGCTCCACCTGGTACACAGGCTAAGACCCTACCTGCCCGCGGACTGTCTTGCCAGAGTGGTGCATGCTCTGGTTATCTCCCGCTTGGACTACTGCAACGCGCTCTACGTGGGGCTACCTTTGAAGGAGACCCGGAAACTGCAATTAATCCAGAATGCGGCAGCTAGATGGTGACTGGGAGTGGCCGCCGAGACCACATAACACTGGTTCTGAGAGATCTGCATTGGCTCCCAGTATGTTTTTGAGCATGATTCAAAGTGTTGGTGCTGACCTTTAAAGCCCTAAATGGCCTTGGTCCTGTATACCTGAAGGAGCGTCTCCACCCTCATTGTTCAGCCCGGACACTGAGATCCAGCGCCGAGGGCCTTCTGGCGGTTCCCTCATTGTGAGAAGTGAGGCTACAGGGAACCAGACAGAGGCCCTTCTCAGTAGTGGCACCCGCCCTGTGGAACACCCTCCCATCCGATGTCAAAGAGATAAACAACTACCTGACATTCAGAAGACATCTGAAGGCAGTCCTGTTCAGGGAAGTTTTTAATATTTAACGCTGTACTGTTTTTAACACTTGATTGGGAGCCGCCCAGAGTGGTCAGCCAGATGGGTGGGGTATAAATAATAAATTTATTATGATGATGATGATGATGATTATGATTATTACATGGAGAGTGGAGTGGGGGGCAATATTTATGGAGATGGTTAACCCTCCCCTCCTCAGCTGTGATCTCCATTATGACCACCACCTCTCCAGCAACTAAGCTTGGAAAAAGCTGTGTGAGAAAGGGGGAATTTACAGATATGCCTGTGCACACACTGGTTTTATTGATGAAGACACTTTGCTGCTTGAGGCAAAGGACAAGATGGTGCCCCTCCACCCCATTCCATTTTCAAAAGCCAACCAGACTGGCATCCTTCAATACTGATGATGGGACAGCATCTTCAACAACACCTGAGGGAAGCAGGCTAGCTAAGTGGGTGCAGAGTGCACTCATGAGCATCTGCTGACTGAGACTGCTGCCTCAGTCTCTTGAATAATAGGGTCACCCCAATATGTGTGCCTACTTTGTCCTTGCTTGCTTTGACCATGCCCACTTTTGTTTTGGGCCCACCCACCACTGGCATGCGAGGCCCTTGGAAAGTTGGCAATGAGGGAATGAAATCCTCAGGCTGAAAAAAGGTTCTCCATTTCTGACTTAAATACTGGAGATTATCTTTCTTTGCTCAGCCAGCACTGGTTTTTCAAAGGAATGGTTCTGAATTTGATCTCAGTGTGTAATGTGCATTGTTTGATACTACATTTGTTATAGAACTTTAAAGATACAAATGGCTTAACTGAGGGAGACATCCCCAACAGACATTTTATAATATTTATTTGTGCTGTTGTTTGTAAATAACTTAAACACACCAGAAATGTATTTTTGAGTGAACCCATTTATTTTATAGGCAGTTGCATTCAGTTGTTTTGGATAAAAAAAAACCAAAGACGCACACACAATCAGACATACACTACATAATGTTGAGGTATATATAATTTTGGAAGTTCTTGTTGTTGCTGCTTTGATATCTAGAGTGTCTCTATAGGCCGAATTTTCAATCTAACAACTTTGAGAGAGTAATCAGAGGGCTTGAAGGGCACCCAGACCACCCCATTTTCAATCTCATAGGGAGCGTTATTCCTTGGGTCATACTGACCTCCTGAGTAGTAAATCCCATTGAGATTAGCAGCTTGGCAATTATTGTACCACCAGCCACCTCCATATATCTCAGCACAGTTCTCCTCCCATTGGTCGTTGTCTCTATCAAAAGTACTAAATTTCATGTTATTGTGAGTGGTGTATTCAACCCCATCTTCCTCTGAACCCCTGATAAGAGCATCGCCTGCTGTCCCCTCATAATCAGAGACACTGAGCCTATAGCCTTCTTCTTCAGAGCTTATGTGTATGTTATATTCTGCATAACCTTTATTGCCCTCCCAGTCCTCTACTTCGACTCGAAGGACAGTGTCCCTCTGGGTCAGGAGATGGAGATTTTCATTGCCCAACCAGAACTCTCCTTTCCCATCCACGCTGCCAAAACCATTCTTGTAGTCTTCCCAGGTCCGGTTAAAATTCAGCGCCCCATCCAATCTCTGTTGGATCAGAAGCCATCCTCCCAAAGTGGTCTCTTGGTCGCAATAAACTGAAAAAACCTTAGTGGTTCCTGCTGGCTTGATTCTGAAAATGCCACTTTGGGCACCAGAAGTGTGTTTCTGGTGGATATCCTCACAGTCTAAAAAAACAAAGTTGATCTGGTTGACAGAAGTTTTCGGTTAAGCTTTATTACAAGGTCACAGGAATCCAAACAGTAATCATGCTCAAGTCAACTGGCTACACTTAATTTGGGGCTACAGTGGAACGAATCCTTGTACTCTCCCCCCCCACCCCAAACTGATTGCTTACATGCACATTTTCATTACCCATGACGTTAGGTACACAACTGCCTTGTTCTCCAATTACTCATGGCGAGAAACCATGTCCCCCACCTTTCCAAAATGGCAACCAACAGACACATTGCTCTTGTTATTTAAACAATGGCATGGGTTGCACTCGTTTAACCTGTGTGTCAGTTTGGTTGCACATTTCACTGCTGCTCCCTCAATAATTATTTTCCATGCAGTGGGTGGGTACCTGTCCCGGTGTAGCTTTCTCCCTGCTTCACTCCTCCTGCACTCAAGCTGCGTGCATGAAAATCAGGTCTGTCTTCTCCACTCTCGTCATGTTGCAGCTCAACTGATGGGATTTTTATTGACTTGGTTTCGAAAGTGGAGCCCCCTTTGTTGAAGCCGCTAGAACTGCTGCTGCTGCTGGACACCGTCCTGGAATGGGATGTGCTGCTACTTGTATGAGAATGGAAGTCGGGGGAGGGCTGGTCAAAGATGGAGAAGTCGTCGGTTTCTCCCTCACCAAGGTCAGAGAATACGTCGCGTCCTTCAAAGGTTGATGTGTGGCTGCCAGTCCCTGTGCTATGGATTCTGCCACCAGAACCTGAGGTGAAAAACTCTTTTGCATTCAGAGGCAGGGTAGAAAAGTCAGATGAGGCACTTCCACCAGTCCCAGTGGTCACTCTCGTGTGGGTGGTGCCTCCTGCTTCTCTGGTTAAATCTTTAGAATGGAAACAGTCTAAACCATCAGATGTTTTATACTCTTCAACAACCTCTTCTCTGGGACCTTCAGGACCTCTGATCACTTTTCTAGTGATGGTTTTGACGCATGTACGGGAGAGACGAGACTCAGAAGGCCCGACTATTTTCAAACTACTAGAGGTATCGCCTCTGCCAGAGGTATCCCCTCCAAAACCAGGAGTGACTAACTTGCTAGTATGTGGTTGTCCAGCAGCCTCTGAATCTTCCAATACGACTTCAACCAGTTTGATACGATTAATGATGCCTGCTTCTTGTTCCGACAGAGGAGCCGTTTTAAAATGGCTAGGGACAGTGGAATCCTTCAGGGGTCTCATTTTCAGTACCCTCAAGGGAGCAGCTTCATATGCTGGCTGCAAGTTGATGGAACTGGCCTGTAAAAGCAGCTTCTGTATCTTGTCATAGCTATCGGTGTCCACATTGTAGCTGACAGCTCGAGAGCAGGACCCTTTGCAGGAACGCACCTTAATATCAATGTCCACCTAGGCAGAGATGGAAAGGTGAAAATACAAATGGGAGAAGAAGAGAAGTGTGTCAGTCTGGCAAATGTTTACAGTATTATGGTATTAAGTATTAAGACAAAATGCAATGTATAAAATACAAAACCACAACCTCGGTATAAATGTGCATGCTTTGATTCCTAAGTCTGCCGAAGCTGTTGTATCCTTAAGTATTTATTGGGCTATTTTGTTTGTAAAGGAGGAATGCCTCTGGGTTATTGCTGATGGCAGTTTCATCACTGC